GAACTCCAGTTTACTAGTCCTTTGATACGTGAGTTCATAGAAATACACACTTTGTTGCGAATATTTAGCATAATTGGTGGCAAACATATACGTGGGACACGTGAGGAATAAATCCCCAAAGAGGTCATACATCGCCCACTGGATGTCATGGGAACTGGTTTTGTCGATATCACCCAAATAAAAGTCTGTTATATTATTGGCGTCCAAATAGGGGAATATGGTTTGCAATAAATGCACAAAATTTGTGAAATCAGTTTCTGTGAGATTGTGCGGCACTTCGCCCAGTATTACGCTCGTCATCCATGAGCCCTCATGTAGGGTCACACCCGACAGTATGTCCACTGAAATCATAGGAATTGAATACATAGGGTATTAGTAATAAATTATTTAACAACAAGTAATTTAACAAACATTTAAATTTGAAACTAATTTATGGTAAAGTATAATATGATGTTTTGCACCTTTATTAAAGTGGTTAGTCTTGAAAGCCATTTGTGCGGACATCGGCAGGAATTCGGTGTCGAGTGTGGGAACAGTCAACGGATTCTTCGTATATAATGAGTAAAACTCTTTGCCATCGATTCCTCGCAAACACTCCAACCATTGGTTATCATCTAAACTACAATTCAATTGAATTGCCATTTGTTTGGCTTTATATAAGGCGTTGCTTTTGGGCACCAGATCCCTGTCCTTGTTGTATAAATGGGCACCGCTTTCCATAATAGCCCTCTGGAAAGCACCTGCAGATAATGGGGACAATATATGCGCCGACACGGACCAACTGCCGGCGCTCTGACCAAATATAGTGATCTGATCCCTATCCCCACCAAATGCGTGAATGTTTTCTCTCACCTATTAATATGTTATAAATTCATGAATAAACTAAAACTTATAATTAAATGAATCCTAAAATGAATACCCATTTAAGAGCCAATAACTGGTCATAAAAGCCTACATTTCCGGGCGCATCCTCCCGATCCCCGTATAGGAACCCAAAAGGACCTAATCTATAGTTTGCTGAGACAAACACCACGTTTTGAGCTGCCAGTGCACTGCCGTTATACTGGCGCTGAAAAATGGATCCCGAGTATAGACCCCCGCCATGAATCCAAAACATGACTGGTTTTAGTGGTGACTCTTGCGATGAGTTACTGTTTCCCCCATTAAGTGTCCATATGTTTAGTACCAAACAGTCCTCACTTGTGGTCAGATTTCCCATAAAGTGTTCAATGCTTTCAAATACTGGTTGCAAACAAGAGTTACCCGGTTTTGTGGCATCGATCTGAATATTAAATTTTGTAAAATATATTTATTAAAATGAAATTATATTATAATTTATAAATACATCTCTCGGTGTTTGAATAGGTAGTGGTTTATTGAAGCGAAGTTTCCCAACCGGGGGCTCAGCATAAGGTATATTCAAGAATTGATTGATTCCTATATTGAGCACATGTATGGTTTGTCCCCTAACTATCCCTGATGTTGTGTTTACTAAAACACTTTCACACAAATTTATATTAATACTTATTTGAATCCATATTAAAATAAATAGCTTTTTAGCCATGGTTATTTATTTAACTTAGAACTTATAAACTAGATTTTAACTTAATATAGACTATATTATAGAGTATTGAATGCAAACGTTGACTTATATGAATATGTTTATCAATTATCTAATCGTACTTAATAAACGTGTCTAATCTTTACTTGAACTTTTATAGTAGTGAACAAATATTTAATGTATACCTGTAACAATAATCTCAGGGTTTTAAATAAATGACATAATATGTTACCGTATAGGATAGAAAGTATTTTTTATATACCACGCAGACCTGGAGATATGGGGTCATTTTTCCAGAAACGGAAATTCTCAAAAAATGGTTTTTTGAGCCCCCTTTAGCAAAACAAAATCAATCAGCTTTCACTTTAAATAACATTAATATTCATTTATTTATCAAAATAATTGTATAGTGATATTAATAAAACATTTGTAAAACATTACCTAATATATAAAGCATAGATTAACATACATGGGCTCCTGAGCTCACGAATACCTTTTTGTAATTAATTAATATATAATTAAGTATCGTTAGTTTGGTCTTTAATATCATCCGGGAAAAATAATTCTTTATGCTCGAGCCACGAAATATATTTTGTTTAGTTTTTGGAATTTTTGGCGGTGGCTCACTTTATGTATCAGGCTTGCTGGTAACTGAGGGTTTGATTGTAGTTATTTTATTTTCTATATTACAATGATATATTTGAATTTAATAGTTTTCCAAATATTTCTAAACGTTACAACAAATTTAAAAACGTAATTATGTATTAAGATATAATTTATGCGTTTTAATATAATAAACATATTTATTTGAGCATATCAATTAATGCAATTATTACACACACATTAAATAACCGTGGGTTTTATTCAAACTAATATTTCTAAGTTTGTCGCCTTTTTATGTTACTTTTACAATAAAAATAACAAGTTAAATACTTTAATCATATTACTCTGATTTAAATTGACATTTGCCCCTTTGACCAAAAACCATTTTTTGAGAATTTCCGTTTCTGGAAAAATGACCCCATATCTCGAGGTCTGATACCACGGTAATTGAGATAATCCACTTGATTTAGTGCATTAGGCATAATGATTGCTCAATTAATTGACAATACCCTTATTGACAAATTAATAACTTATCTAGTGAAATAATAGTTTATTGATTTTATGTTAATTTATTTTCCGTTGCATTATGACGTGTATTTATTTACTGAATTTTTATAATATATATTTTTAATATTATTATTAAATATCTTATATAATAATACAAATATAGTTATTAAGTGATGACTATTGAATTGTTTGTTTAACAAATATTTATGTTCATATTTAAGAAATAATTCAAACGAAATAAAAATATTAATTTAGATAAAACACTTATAAAATGTTACCCAAATATAATATTTTCAAGTTAAAAAGTAAATACATTTTTGGAAACTTCCATTATTTACATTTTATAAATAATGTACATTCATTAATCAAATTATTTAAGCAATACAATTTACTAAATTAAACTTAATATTTTATAGTATAAAGGTTTAGACAATTTTAAAAACATAACTT